GGAGAGAAGAGAGAAGAGGGAATGGAGACACACACACACAGAGGCCCCTGCATTCCGGCCGATCCGCCGATCGTCGCAGCTCCGCCGATCGTCGGTCCGCCGTCTGCCTCTGCTTCTTCTTCTTCCCGATCTTCTTCCCGTCGTCTGCTTCTTCTTCTCTGATTGAACCAAAAACGGCGTCGTTTTTGGTTTCGGGGGATTAGGGGGGGCAATGTTTCGAGCTACGTAGCACGGTCTTAAAAAAATTAGATTGATATTTTAATCACACTTGATTTGATTGAGTGTGATAATATTTATTTTTTATGTCATTTTTCAATTTAGTATATAATATATATATATATATTTTTAATCACATTTTAATTATATATGATTATATTTATTTTTTATGTCACTTTTTTAATTAAGTATCATTATATATAATATTTATCACACTTTTAAATAAGGGTTAGTTTGGGATGTTATAAAAAAGTGTACTTTTTGATTTATTGGCTTATATGGGTTGAGTTTGGGTTGGGTTTGATGTGATGTGTTAAAGAGGTGATGTAATTTAAATAAGATGATATGACTTAAATAGAATAGTCACTTTTTAACTTTTTGTATTATTTATTAAATACCAAACTTGGTATATATATATATTGGCGCCCATTCTATACCCCCACGATATATAATATTTATCACACTTTTAAATAAATGTGATTATATATATATATATATATTGGCGCCCATTCTATACGCCGACGATTGAGAGCACACGACTCTTGCCTTTCCCAACAAGATTTGGATCTCTTCTCCTTGCCTTCTGATCAAAATGCACAGAGAAACCTTTCATCTATGTCTCCGTTACCACTACTTGGTTGCCGACCATTGGTTCCATCGTCAAGTTGCTCTCCAGGTCTCTCTCTCTCTCATGGCGATTTCAAGGTCTTGAACCAAAACCCTAAGCTTTTCCCCCTTTTTCTAGATCATTAGGGTTTGCAAAATTCAAATTTTTTTTTTTTGGTTGTTGTTGATTCATTCGATATGGGTTTTCCACTGTCCTCTTAAAAAATGTTTTTTTTTCTTCCCCTTCGCAAATCGTGCTTGTAGATTGGAACTTGGAAGATCTTCACCATTCTTGGAAAAAGTTGGAATTATTGTTTTTTTTTCTTCTCCAATTTGTGAATTACATGGGTTTTGCTCTGCCATCATCTCAAGGAGTCACTTGAATAATTGTGGTCTTTGCTGTTTTGGCTCTCTCTTCTCTGATGAGTGATGGACTTTGGAGGTATGTCAAAGTCCATGAACTTTGATGTGTTTATTTTAGTTGATTCTTTGAGATGATTGTTGAATCAACCTCTTCTTCTTATTTCTGCATAACCATTAATTAGTTTTGTTGGATTTCTTATTTCTGCATACACAGAGTTGCTGAATTATCCAATTTTGCTGTTAATTTGATACACTAGAGAGGGTATATGTAATGTCTGATTCTACGAGATGTTTGGCTATTAGGTTTACCAGAATTTAGTTATTATGGCTCTGCTGGTTTATGTTTCAGAAAGGTTGAATTCGGATAGGCTTTACCTTTTGGAATTCAAGAAAGCCATCCATGAGGAATTTAATTATCTGGGAAACTGGAATTCTAGTGACCAAACACCATGTGGATGGATTAGTGTGAATTGCACATGGAATTCTTATGATCTAGTAGTGGACTCTCTTGATTTGAATTCAATGGACCTTTCTGGGACCCTGAGCCCTAGAATTTGCAGTTTGGTTAGTCTTATGAAACTAGATGTTTCTTACAATAGTTTCACTGGAAATGTTCCCAAATGAGATTGGAAATTGCTCAAGGTTGGCAAGTATCGCAACAGAGCTTATATAGTCTCCATAACTATTCGCGGTTTGGTTGGCATATATATCTAAGAAAAAAGTGAACTGTAAATTAACACAGCACTTGGGAAAATTTGATGAAGTTGAAAGAAGAATATTAGTTCATGTAAACTAAGGGTTGATAAATCTTTAGGTTGTGTTTGGTAGAGTTCTGTAAATATGATTTGAGAGTATGAGTTGTATTTTGAGTCTGTGAGATGTGGAATTATGATTTGAGTGTAGAAAATTTGTTTAGTTATGGTTTTTGAATAGAGTGTTGAATTGATTGTGGAATTGAGTTTTGAAAGTTTGATTTGACATTTAAAGTAAGAAAATTTATTTGGTTATGAGTTTTGGAAAAAGTTTTCAAAACTTAATTCAAATTATTATAACTCATAACAAAACATACTACTTTCACACTATTGAAAATTCTGATCAACACTAATAACCAAACTCTTTTTAAAATTCAATTAAAAAAATTTATTATTAACAGAAAATAACATTAATCAATTTTTTAATTGAAAATACTACAAAGGAAATAAATTTTTTTCAAAATAAATATTCAAAAAATTTAAATCATAAACATTTAAATAATTTAAATAATCTAAAAAATTTAATAAGTAAAAAATTAAAATAAATATTCAAAAAATTTAAATCATAAACATTTAAATAATTTAAATAATCTAAAAAATTTAATAAGTAAAAAATTAAAATAAATATTCAAAAAATTTAAATCATAAACATTTAAATAATTTAAATAATCTAAAAAATTTAATAAGTAAAAAATTAAAATAAATATTCAAAAAATTTAAATCATAAACATTTAAATAATTTAAATAATCTAAAAAATTTAATAAGTAAAAAATTAAAATAAATATTCAAAAAATTTAAATCATAAACATTTAAATAATTAAAATATTCAAAAAATTAAAAAATTAAAAAAATCGTAACATATTTAAATATTAAAATATTTAAAATCTTAACAAAATTAAAATATTTTTAAAATATTAAAATATTTAAAATATTTAAAAAATTAAAATATTGATTTGAATTGAGTTTTGAAAAGAGTTTTGAATTATGTGTTTGGTTTTGAGTTTTGAAAAGTAATGATTATGTTTTGAATTGAGTTTTGAGAAATCTGTGTAGAATTATGATTTGAAAGCTTAAAACAAACAACACACTCAAATCAATGGGTGAAACTATAATTTGAGAGGTTTACCAAACGGAGCCTTAGATTCTTCTATGGTAGATACCACATGATCAAATTTAATTGGAGGGCTCAACTTTTTTTTTTTTATTATCTAAAATTGTCTCATCTTCTGCTATGTTTCTGTTTTTTTCCTTAGAATTTGAATTATTGCTATTTGGAAGGACCCAAAGGTCAGCTCTTTTGTGCACTTGAATTGAACGGCTTATTACACTGTGAGGGTTATTGGATTGACAGTAACGTGAGAAGAGGAAAGATGTAATTGAATATGTTCAGAGACTCATCAGATGTTCTCTTGGATTTGAGGTGAATTCAATGCCTCACTTTTAGTTTTGTGTGGTTAAATTGTTACCTGGGAGGTTCTGTTTTGTGGGTATATAGTTTTTTGATTATTTATATACTTTTTTGCAATCTTCAATATATAGTTAGAGGAACCCTCTTTCATGTTTGGAGGAGTTGAAATTATTGTTCAAATGCATGTGAGAGCAATTCAATTTCTGAGGTGTTCAGGCATGGTTATTTTCCAGTGAAGAGGCTTCACTCTACTTTTCTGTGTATCCTGTGAACAGTTCTTTTGTTCTTTGCCTTAAATTTTTTAAGTTGTGTTGGTATGTTGTTGTTGTGGGATATATTTGATGACTCATTTCCATTCAGTATTAGTTGAATTTTATAGGGGTTGACAATTTAGGGGAAATTTTATTGTTTGTCTTATGGCTTCCAAGTGAAATCAGGAATTCATTATGAATGATCACTTAGGAAGCATTTTAGCTCTTATGTTTAGATGATTTGAGGCAGTTAAGCTGGCATTGGCGTGGCTATCTAACACTTGTTACATCTGGCATTGTTGAGTCACCCACATATAGTGTAATAATTTAATACAACCTGAGGGGTGGACATCCTTTGATCGTGTAGTGTAGCCTATTTGGTCTTGAATATATGTGAAACATTGCATTGAAAAGTTAGTTAAGAAAGGTTTTGTTCAACCTATTTTAGGGCAATTAATAGATTGGGGAAGTGTTTCTACCATTTGCTACTGCCCTATGATCTAATTGTGGTATGCCTTTATTGCAGTCATTATATTTGGCACCCATTTTTTTCATTAGTTCTTGGTTCTTCCTTTTCTTATTCATTTTTGTAGGAAGAAGGAAAAAAAACCTTAGAAAGTTACTATCACAAACCCAACAACCACTTAATGAGAGGGGCTGTTAGTTATGCGATTACTAGTTTTTGGGGGCGAGTGTGTATTTCAGGGAGTTAAATGTATTTGTTAGAAATATCAATGGAGGTCATTGTAATTTACCCTAAATAATGTTATGTGAAATTTTATCTTTGACATACATTAGTTTTTCTAATCATTCTTGGGACGGAGAATTTTTTGATTTTTTAAAAAAAATTATTTTATGCATGTAAGAGAGACAGGATTTTTTTTTTTTAATCATTTTACATTCTTTGTTAACTTGGTTTCCTTCAAGTTTATTGCCAGGGGAATTTATGTTTGTCAAAACCCTTAGTGGGGGTCATTGTAATTCACTATTTTTTATTTTAAAAAAAATGTAATGGGGAGTAATCTGTTTTTTTGTATGAACCTACATTGTTGTGTTGGAAATTGTTATATCAAATCAACCCATATGTTATATCAGCCTACCCCCATCAGACCATGATTCGTGATAGGCAAACCACCTTGTTTTTTGATAGGTACTGTATTGTAGTAGAAAAGAGTAACCAAGGGTGTGCAATCCTTTTGCAAAATATGGACAATCAACATGGAAGAGTGCAAATGATGTGTAAATGATGATGTAAAACGATCTTTGAATTGTTTCTTCACTTTGAACCTATTTGAGGGAGCTAATATCTATAATTTAAAATAAAATAAAAAAAGAAGAAGAAAAAGGAAAAATGAAAAGAAAAAGGCAGCTTTGAGTAGTTTCTTTAATGTGTTGACAAAAGATACAAATCATGTTAAGGTTGTTTTAGATCCTTCCCATTTCGATTAGGATTTGTACCCTTGCTCCCTCTTTCCACCACTTATTTGTTTATTTGTTTATTTTTAATAATTTAGCTACTAGGCTTAAGAAATGCATGTGAATCAATTTGTGCAATTACTTGAGTTTTTTATTTCCCAATTTTTTGCCCTGCTTCAGCTAAGTTTCAAAATCTTGGAAGTCCTTGTATTTAGTTGCTCTCTCTTTGAATTATTATTTCAGGAAAAACATTTTTTATTTTCATAAAATTTTCAAAATTTTACAGAAGATAAAAAATTAATTCTGAGTCTAACGGTACCAACCATGCTTAAAACAAAGTTATAACGAATAAATTATGGCCAATTAACGCAATTCAGAATTAAAAACAAATAAACAGAGCCTTAGGCATAAGCAGCCAAGCCAGCCAAGCCGCCGAAGGAAAACGGCGCGGCTCAGCACCGGCTCGGAGCGGCTCGACGCACGGCTCAAACGCGGCTCGGCGCTCGGCTCCAGCACGCGGCGCGCGTGCGAGGCGCGGACGGCGTGCGCGTGGACAGCGCCGCTGACGCGCGCGTGATGGCGCGTGCAGGCGCGTCTGTAGGGCGTCTGGCGCGTGTGGGCGTGTGGCAGCGCGTGGGAGCGCGTGGCTGCGGCTCACGGCGTCAGGTGGCGCGTGCATACCACGCGCCGCCTTCCAGGGTGTTTTCTAGTCCCATTTTTGTACTGCCAGACTCCATTTTCCAAAATAAAATCATTTATGGTCTTAAAAAAGACATTAATGATCATAAAAATGAAATATTTTGGATCTCTACCTCTTTTTATAAATATACACATGATAAAAGAAAGCACGAAAATACCCATACATGGCTCTGATACCAATGTAAATCAAAGTATAAAGCATGCAGCGGAAAAATATTTAGATCATTCCTTTAGATGATAGAACCTCGTGGGTAAATCACGTGCTTCCAGAGTCTGATAAACCAACCCAGCAGTGAAGTAATATCACAGATTGAATATCACCCACACAAATCACAGTGCAAATGACTTGATCGTTGTTCTTTGGGAGAGAGTCAATATATGGGTAAAACTCAGATCATACGTTGTTTTTTCTCATAATCACCCATAACCCATATACCAGATATATAATATTTTATTATTATCTATCCATATTAGTTAATGGAGATAATATCTATATCTAGAGTGGTTATCCTAAATAGGTTTGAATTCAATTTCAAAACCTATTTGGATAAGATTCAAATTCAAATTCAAACGGTCATGCCACATGGGCGCCCATTACTAACAATAAGCATTTCTGCAGTGATTATTAACCATATTTAATTTAATATGCAGGTTAGTTATTTATTCATTTATTTAGTTTTTCCATTTTCTTTCTCCCTCCTCCCTCCATGCAAAGACTTTATTGTTGTAGAGTTAGTTTGCTACATGCACTTCCTACGTTGAATTCCTAAATTTTGTTCGTTGTTCTGTGTATATATAAGCTTTATTTTTTTACAAAAAAAGAATAACATCAACCAGGGTTCTTTTTGTTACCTTTTTCATAAATAATAATCAAGTAAATTGAAAAGTATTGCCTATAGAACCAGAATAGCAAGAAATATTTTAACTAGTCTGTCTTTGCAAGAGATTCAGCCATTAGATGGGAAATATGATGGCCAAAGCTGCAATAGGGTTTATCGTTCTGTATAACTATGTAATTAGGAGCACTAATAGAATCATTGGTCTGTTTCTGATTCAAAGGACAATTGATTTTTTTAAGTTTCAAAAATTCTGAAATAAAGCTCAAGTTACATGCACAGGTTAATTGGTCAATGCTCAACTAGATTCTTATGAAAGCCACACATGTGGCTGAGGAAGCTAATAGCAACTGTGCAGAACAAAGCTTACCAAAAGAATCTCCCATAATAGTGTAGTCATCAAATTTTTTGCCTTCTACAGAGTGGTTTGAAATTGTTTGAAGCAATGACTAATCACATCATTATTTGCACCATAAGTTGTATGCAATTGAACTCACCAATCTATATGTGAACTGTGCTTTGACTGGATGATTGATTTGAGCTTTGGAGATTTATTTATTGGAAGTTTAAATAGACAAAAAAATAAATACCAAGAATGTCTTTTTTTTTTGACAGGGCTATGGACGATCATTGTGGTTGATACATGGGATGTTTAGGGCCAATGGTGGTTGTGGATATGTGAAAAAGCCCGACTTTTTTTGTTAAAGGTCGGTCCAAAGAATGAGCTCTTCGATCCCAACGCTACATTACCAGTCAAAACAACTTTGAAGGTGAGTGAAGCATATTCAGATCTGATTACCTCATCTAAGAAGACTTTGGATTCTCTACTGGAATTACAGGAGGTAAGAGAATATCTGACCCATTTACTTGCCTTTTTTCTTTTCCTTTTGTGTTGTGTAGGATTCTAAAAATGTGATGAGTAGTTGATGCTTTTGAAGCATTATTAAAATTTGATGTACCTGTCAATCTCCGTTCCTTTGTTTACATGTTATGCTTATTTTGACAGGCATTACTTGAGAAGAATCCATCCATTGCTCAAGTCACAGATGGTATGGCATGTAATTTTTTGTAGGCCATTATGAAACCTGAGTGTTAGACATTACTTTCTTTGAAATTCTTTGTATCAAGTAATATAGTGATGTTTGTGTCCTCTCCTTCTGCTTTGAGCAAAAAAGTTATGAGAGTATATCCTTTAAATTTTTTTTGAAGACTGTTTATCATGAATAAACTGTTAGGTAGTACTCTGTATGATATATTAGATTGTCAATTTGGGAATTTTGAACCCCCCCAATTTGTACTTTGGGATTATATCTCTATTTGACTTTGTATATGATGGTGTCTAGAACATTTTTTACAAATATGCAATTACCAGTATGTGTATACCCAAGGAGTAGAGTTGTTTTTATTCTTTCTAAGGTAACTCTGGCCAACCTCCCAAGCGTTCAAAAGTTTCTAGGAGCTCAAATGGAGAAGATGATGAAAAATGGTCGCAGATATCTGAAATGCACTCAAGGTATTTGCACAATTAACATTTAATTGCATTTCTTAAACGAAGTTGTTGGTTATAGTAAAATTTCTGTTGAACTTGCAATTTTTGTGGGTAAAATGACATTTTGTTTTTACATGCTTTATGTCATGCTAGAGGTATTTAATGTTAAGACATTTGAAGGGGTGTGATCAGTTAGATTTTATCTTTTGTAAGACTAGAACAATCTCTACAAATAGTTAGTTTATTCATATGCTTCTAACGGTTTCTGAATTAATTTGTGTTTTCATTTTTCAGGTTAGAAATTTTTTAGAGAGATGCAAAATATAGTCAAAGAATTCAAGAAGTTTGTGTGTCAATTTTTTTCATTTTTTAATATATGTAATCACAGTTAAAAACTTTTTATTAATTCCTTTGTATGTACTATCTTCTTTTTGATTCCAAACCCTAGGTCCGACTTCTCTCTCTCCCTTTTCACCTTCTCTCTTAGATTTGATCCACTTAGGGAGTGTTTCTACCCTAGATCCTTCATTAAAAAGATAAAGTGAGGCAAGGGCTTCCATTTAATCTGAGCATTTGGCGATTTGGAGCACTTTGGTATTTGGGCACTCATCTCTTTCTTCACCATTTGAGTTGTTTTCTTTGAGGTAGGGATTTCCTACTCCATTTTATAGGTTTTGTTCTAAGTTTTGGTATTTTAATATGTTGGGGATACTTTGGTAAATTTTGGGAAAAACCCTAGTTGTGTTATTGAATTAATTTGTATAAGTAATTCATGGAATTGGGAAAAGATCGTTAAATTCATGGAATTGGTGAATTCATTGATTAAATAGCGTATTTGGGTAATTGGAATCATTTGTCTATTTAATTGTTGATATAGTTATTTTCAGTTTAGAAATAACTGTTTTGGGCTATCGGTGGAGGATAGTCGTGATTGTTGTAGACATTGCATGTGGATTAGGAATAACTGAAACTAATCATATTGGTTAAGTCATTAATTTTGACTATGGCATTGATACAGAAAATACGTGTATTGATTGAGCATTGCATTTGCATACATTGTTTTGTGTGTGGGAGGAGATAGGGGATGTACTCCACGGTTTAGGGGAAGATAGGGGATGGACCTCTAAATCGGATTTTGTTTGGGAGGAGATAGGGGATGGACTCCATTAGCATCACTTTTGTGTATGCTTATTTATATAGAAGTATTTTATTGATACAGCACTAAAATGTGTATCAATCTGGAAGTATGAAGTGTTTGATTTGATCTTGAGTCTCATTTGTTGTTGATATTGGAAGAATGTGAATATGATATATGTGATTCACTGTTGTAAGTTTGGTCAGGTTCTGAGCCATGTTGATAAAATTGGAAAGTAAAACGTATCTTTGGCAATAGTGTCATGAGACTGTAAAATGAAGTAATTGATTATTTTGGTTAACCATCTGTTGAATGCTATTGCTTTATTCATTGCTTATATGTGGTTTAGTATATTTCTACTGGGCTGTGGCTCACCCTTCTTGGTTAACCATCTGTCAAATACTATTGCTTTATTCATTTTCTTATATGTGGTTTAGTATATTTCTGCTGGGCTGTGGCTCACCCTTTATGGGAACATCATTTTCAGGTTCAGGTGATAAGCTACCTCCAAGGACTTAGCTTTGAAGGACTTGGATTCTGAAGACTTTTTTTTTTAGTTGTTTGTTTTTGGTTGTTAGTACATGTAAACATTCAAGCCTAGGGCTTTTCTTGTATTGAGATTAGAACTCATATTTTTGAATCCAAGTGTTGGCTTGGAAAGATGTAAGCCTGTAGGGCATTTTATTCGATGTTACATGTAATGCTTTATTTAGTAATACTCTGATGAATGAATTAATAAATTGTCTT